TCGGGAAAATTTTGGTAGGAAAAAGGGGGGATAGGTAAATTTTTATCAGAAAAACGGGGGGATGCACAATTTTTGGAAGAAGCTACAAGCCTTGCTTAAGGGGGATCRTATTTTTTTGCATGACTTTAAGGGGGGTGTTAAGAATTATTCTGGGCATTTCAAATTTTCACCTGCCCCCCTCTGCCATACATTATTATGAATGCAGCCTTACCTCTCTTTGCCATTCATGACCAGTATGCTAATTGCTGTAATTGCGATTGGAGCCACTTAATTCCCATACCCCATTACCCCACCAACTATTGCTCTTGTTGTTGCTATTACTCTAATGGTTTAGCACAGGCAGCCCAAACAAGGTTCCTGTGTATGGTTTATAAGGGAATGTATGGGAGTTATGATAAAGTCATGACAATAAAATGTTTCACTTAACAATTTGCTTCAAAACTTGCTGCAGTTGTTGCTTTTACTTTGTTCAGTCTTCTGGCGAAGTTTCAGCGCGATTTGAGGCCGTTTAGTGGGTTTTTWAAAATTGTTGAGTGAAACATTTTATTGTCATGACTTTATCATAACTCCGATACATTCCCTTATAAACCATACACTGGAAATTTGTTTGGGCTGCCAGTGGGGTTGGGAGCATTAATTTTGGTTCTCGAGAATTCTGCGCAAATGTTGCAGATTTGAAAGAACGCAAACTGAACAACTTCAAAGCCGAATAGCGCACTTTTTATGCATTTTTTAGCAAAAATAAAAGTTCCTAAACTCACCTCTTGCCCTACTTTGCCTTTCTTGGTCATGTTAGGAAATTTTAGAATGATTTTRGTGAGAATTCGTGAGGTTTTTCTTTGACCTTTTCTTTGACGCAAAGCGACGCAAGCAACTTTGACGAACTTTGACTGGAATGAAAATACACAGGTAGCYCAACCTTAACTGTATTGAAGGTTTAGAAAATTAGAAGAAAATCTCTTTATAGATATTAGAAAAATCAATAACAAAGTTCTGGGAATTAGAAAAATTCCATACCAGTTTTTAAAGCTTTTTTAGCCTATTACTTGTAAACATTTACAGCATTCATTAAAACCAAGTTTGGGCTCCCTGTTTATCCTCAGCCTTTCAGCACAGGCAGCCCAATTCAGTAATAATTCTTAAAAGTTCTTAACTTTTTATGTTAAAAATAGATACGAACAATTCTTGAAATTATTTTTATGATAAAATTTGAAGGCGACTCTATAAAACTAAAGATAAATTTATTTTGATAAGGTTTCATCATCTTAATTTTACCACGAAAAAGCCCGTTTGGGTAGCCTGTGGCATTTAGGGGAACAATGGCCATTTGTATCAAAATATGAAATTTAAACAACTTTTAATTGCATAACTCTTTCTAAAAATCATGATATTTTGTGCATAGAATAATGTCTGACTTAGACGTTAATGTCGACGAGAATATCGCTCGACAACTGGAAGAAATCGAAGCTCTCAAAGCAATTTATGGCGAAGATTTTTATTCCACAGATTCAGATAGCAAAACGTGTGAAATGTTGATAAAAAACGAGTTCAGTTCTAAATTTTCCGTTTCTCTTCGCATCGTTCTTCCTATTGATTATCCCAGTAATGGAGAGCCTGTGTTAGAGATCGTCTCTTCGTGGATGACTGCTAAAGATTACGAAGAAATTACTGAATGTTTTCAAGAGATTTTTATGGAAAATGTTGGGGAGATTTTGTTATTCCAGTGTATTGAGAGGTTGAGGGAGTTTGTAAAGGGGAAAACAGCCGAAAGACAAGAACTGGAAGAAAGTAAGTTATGTATTTGATTATTTTACGTATTCATAAAGCCTACAAAGCATAAGGGACCGTTTGTTTAACCAGGGAGGGGAGGGGAGGTGCGTGGGATTCACCCCTCAACTTCATTATCCCATTAAAAAATGGCTCTTCAATTTTTATTTTGCTTATTGTAAAAGTACAGTGCTACTCTGAGTTTTTGTTCGCCCCCTCTTTAGCCTAATTTTTTTCAATAAGCCCCACTCAAATCCAATTGCAACCCATTCCTGGAAAAAATGAATGTGTCATTCCCTTGAGTGTTGTTTCTTTATTTCATTCACAAGATACATAATATAACCCTGAAACAATCTCTGGTCTGATCTAAGTCAGGGCATGGCTAACACAGATAGAACCCTGAAACAACCTCTGGGCTGATCTGAGTCAGGGCATGTCTAACTCACAGATAGAACCCTGAAACAACCTCTGGGCTGATCTAAGTCAGGGCATGGCTAACAGAGATAGAACCCTGAAACAACCTCTGGGCTGATCTAAGTTAGGGCATGGCTAACTCACAGATAGAACCCTGAAACAACCTCTGGGCTGATCTAAGTCAGGGCATGGCTAACTCACAGATCGAACCCTGAAACAACCTCT